AGCAGCAATAGTTCGGTCCGCAGCCGCCCCCACAGCTGTTGAACCTGTGCACCTTTGGTCCGAGTGTATAACTGAATGTGCCCGTCGATAAGGATTCATACACGTGCAGACTGTTCACGCACGACCACGCCTTATCTGCAATAAACATTGAAATGGCACATTGGTAATATCGGCAAGTATGCGTGCTATACGTCGATCTCGTCACATCATATCACACTGCATAATTGATGTATTTCAACACAACTAGACCGGAGCTAGGCAATGATATGTGCAGTTTATAGCTAATTACGTACACGTACGCACACAAAAACACACACACACACAANTTATATGTGTTTCATCCATGCAGCTACCTATACATGCAGCCTGTACGCTTTCACATATTTCTTTAGAGTTTTATTGATCAGTAAATATTATAATAGTAATTGTAACATAAATTATTTTAATAATAGAAGAGACTCTCTCTCTCTCTCTCTCTCTCTCTCTCTCTCTCTCTCTCTCTCTCTCTCTCTCTCTCTCTCTCTCTCTCTCTCNTTAGATTTCGGAGCAATCTGTAATATGAAACTCCCTTAAGAAAGCTCCGCCACTCGTTTTGACAAGCACGGACAATTAAATTGAATTATCAAATATTTATAATATATAAATATATTAAATTATTAAATTATTAAATTATTAAACTATTAAATTATTATTAAATTATAACATATTGATATATTAAATATTAATATATGTAATTGAAATCGATACGTGAGTGAGTGCGTGCGTGCGTGCGTGCGTGCGTGCGTGCGTGAGTGTGCGGGTGTATGTATAAGTATATGTATAGGTGGCAACCACTGCGTGGACAAGAGTTGGAACTGCCCTGATTGGGCTGCCAGTGGAGAATGTACGAACAACCCGCGTTACATGCTCACCATTTGCCAGGAATCATGCGGACTGTGTAACGGTAGGTATATACGCACACTACCGCCCATTCTTAGCCCTCCGCGCAACGGCCCAAGCCACAACCGCACCACCTCGTAACACCAAGTGTGTGTGTGTGTGTGTGTGTGTGTCGTAGCCACCACAAACGCAGCCATCGTAACCGCGTCGAGATTCAGCGATGCTCGAGTTCAGGACGCCAGCAGCCACCAGTGTAGCGCTAGTCAGCAGCAGCGAGTCAGTCAGCAGCCGCCACAAGGAGCAACACGGCCGTGCGGAGCAGGCGACCAAACCCACACCCAACCAACAACTACACGACCGCACACTTCGGCGCACACACAAAATAACTAGACAGAAGCCCACGAATTGCTTACCTCCAGCATAACATCCGTCCTCTGGATCTCTCCCCTGCTGCTGACTAGCCGGCTCACTGGCTGGCTGCTGGACTCGCCATCTGTTGCCGCTGACTCGACGGCGGTGATCGGGATCGCGATGGCTACCACACAAACACACCACCACACACACACACTGTTTGCGGCGGAGTAAAAGGCGATATATACTTACCGTCAAGTCCGCATGATTCCTGGCAATCGTGAGCATGTAACCCGGGTTTCCGTACATTCTCCACTGCAGCCATCCAGGGCAGTCGAATCTTCGTCCACGCAGTGGTTGCCACCTATATTGTAGAAATATATGACATAACTTATACATCATCCCGCACACACCACCCGCACGCACACAGCGACACGACGCCACGCAGCGCACAGCGCACACGCACTCACGTATCGATTTCATAACATATATTAAATATTTGAAATATATCAATACTTATAATTTAATAGTTTAATAGTTTACTAATTTAATAGTTTATAATTTAATATATTTATATATTATAAAATATTTGATAATGTCAATTTAATTGTCGGCTTGTCAAAACGAGTGGCGGAGCATTCTTAAGGGAGTTTCTCAATATTCACAGATTGCTCATCTAAAGACAAGAATGATCCGTTGATCCTTATATACAGCGCATAATATACACTGTATATATATAATATTTATATATACCGCAAAATACTGATAGGTTGTATATAAACATAGTCTGCATCTCGTAGATGTATTCAGATTGTATTCAGGCGGTGACCATAATTTCCATCAGATCATCTATTCTATAGAATAGTAATTGCAAGGGCAGGCATGAACTGACGCATAGACACTTATATATATACCATAGCTGAAAAGTCCCCGGCCGCCATATTGAGATCAGATAAAGGGCCGTATAAGTTTCGCTATATATAACATGGTTAGGATAAATTAGTCTAGGTTTTTGATCTTATATTCTCTTCACGTAACAATCGTAGCTTCAATTCACAAGTGGTTTACGTGTTACAGAAACATTTACACAATATGATTTGTGGTCATTTGGCTATTTTTTTGCAATGTTTGTGTTAATGCAAAAACTAAAAAAGCGCCTCGGCATTTTATACCCCTTTTTCTATGACCTAAATAGCACAGCTGGACTTTCATATATCACTTATTATCAGAGCACGCGAAGTATTTTGTTTATTTTACTTAGCTATATATGCTATATATATTATATATATATATCATATATCATAAAATATAAAACATATATGTTTACGACATGATATGCGCTGTTGTTGTTGTTGTTGTTGTTGTTGTTCTTGTTGATGTTGCTGTTGTTGTTGCTGTTGCTGTTGTTGTTGCTGCTGTTGTTGTTGTTGTTATAAAATATCGATGTGTAAGCCTACCCAGCGTTTGGTCGATAGTGTAGGGAATGGTAGCGTCGCGCCATCTATACTGTTCACCAATGACACCTCCTCTGCCACCTTTAAGCTGAGCCTTCTGTGCCTACAAACATACAGCGAATGATATGTTAGCGAAAGGAAACATGTAGCCTATATGTGTTTCATCCATGCAGCTACCTATACATGCGGCCTGTACGCTTTCACATGTTTCTTTAGAGTTGTATTGATCAGTAAATATTATAATAGTAATTGTAACAGTAAATATTATAATAGTAATTGTAACATAAATTATTTTAATAATAGAAGAGACTCTCTCTCTCTCTCTCTCTCTCTCTCTCGCTAGTCTCTCGTCTCTCTCTTGTCCTGTCTCTCTCTCTCATCTCTCTCCTCTTTCGTCTCTGCTCTCCCTCTCTCTCTCTCTCTCGTTCTCTCTCATCTTCTCTCGTCTCTCTTTCGCTCTCGCTTCTGCCTTCGGTCTCTCGCTCATCTCTCTCTCTCCTCTTCTATCACTTAATATCGTCTTCTGCTCTTCCTAATACCAACCATTATATATATATATAATAGTATAGTATATATATAGTATATATATTATATATATTATGTGTATGTTCGTGTGTGTGGTGTGGTGTGTGTGTGATGTGTGTGTGTGTGTGTGTGTGTGTGTTGTGTGTGTGTGTGTGGTGTGTGTGTGTGTGTGTGTGTGTGTGTGTGTGTGTGGTGTGTGTGTGTGTGTGTGTATATTATATATATATATAATGAATAGTATATAGTATCATTTGCGACAGTAGGGCATACTCCACAGGAGTCCAGTTTTGATATCTGCCTGGAAGAGGTTCTTTTCCCCAGCAGCTGAAGATCACAAAAATGTACGTATGAGATAAGAAACACGGATATAATAGATTCTATAACTATGCAATACTATAACAAGATAGGATATAATATAACCGATGATGTAACGATCTATATTATACAATACACTCTCTGTACAGACCGCTACATCAGTCACGATTGTGTTTACGATTCGCTCGCATCATCGTCATCGCTCATCATCGATCGTTCGTCATCATCGTCCCGTCATCATCGTCACGTCATCGTCATCATCCGTCAATCGTCACGTCCATCATCATCGTCATCATTACGTCATCGTCATCGATCATCATCATCGGTAATCTCGACTAGCAGTGGACATGTGTGTCACGAAGATCGGATAAATAGCACGATCAGAAAGTCTGTTACGTCGTAATTTTTGGCTCACAAACTCAGACATATCGACTCGCCGTGATCGCTGATTGCTAATTGTGCATTCTGGAAACGCCTCTGTTACTATTTTTCTATAAAAGTATTTTAATTTATCTTACTTTATTTAAGTTTGTTAATAATTAATTTCACGCATGTTTATACCAATTATGTAATGGTGTAACCTGTTACATTATATAATAAGTTAGTCCACAATTCAGCATAAACACTCACTTTAATTGGACTCTCAGGAGCA